AGAGAGAGAGAGAGAGAGAGAGAGAGAGAGAACAAGTTTCCCTGGTCTTCCGGAAAAGGTCTCATAGTAATGAGAGTTAAACCGAGATTTCTGTATCCTTCTCTTGAATGAAAGGGTGTGAGGGAGTTGACTCCAGTCTTTGATGTGTTGATGGAAGAACTAAATTTCCTTTCTCAATCAAAACATGAACTCTTCGGAAAGAAATCTATGAATAAACTGGCTTAAAAAATTATCCGAAAACTATCCCTTATTATATTAGATTTGTGATCTTACTTCTATAGGAGTCTTTGTAGATAACCACCGATGATTACGGACGAGTTAACTAATCAATCAAAAAACACATTTGATTATAGATCAACATGATAATGAGAATCTTCACGCATGAAGTGGACGATGTGAATAGATGCGAATACCACCCACTATCGGCCATCGATTCGAATACAATAATTGTCATAAATTCGAACTATAAATGAAATTGGAAGTCTCGACGTCGAACGTACGACCTTTTGGAAGTACCTCAAGTCGAAGCGCATGAATGAAGGGAAGGCAGTGAAGTGAAGACGACGACAGTCATATGATGTGACTCGGGCCATGCGGCTTTTATTCTACCAGAACAGTCGGTCTCCTCCTTTTGTTCTCCGGGGAAGAAAGAAGAGTTGTATCAGCGAGTGGGGCTGCACCGGAAACAGCAAACTATAAGCTCCATAAAAAGATCACAAGTTCCAGGAATAATAAGCTAGATTCTCTCTCTTCCCCAGTAGTGCTAATCTTCTTCGAGTGTCTTAACTTGGGCTGCGAAGGATAGGATAGGATGGCTTTTAGATGACGAGCTGCCTGCAACATCCAAAACTTTACACATCACCAGGCAGTAAAATAACATAAAGGAGGAGATGAAAGGATGAGCTTTTCCATATAAAAGGAGTCATGCAAGGTTCACCTGTAGGAAGCTCACAATTACAGGGCAAGCATGATCGAGTTTTCAGGACTAGCAATCCTCCCCGTATCATCAGGAAGATATCATGTCGGATGATGACCAGGTGAGCCATGTGCAGGCCAGCATTCGTTGATGGCTCTGGATTGATTGATTGATACCTGAACATGATTAGTTTGATCAATAAAATCTCTCCAGTGCAGGGCATCGAATGATAAACACACAAAGGGGGAGAAAAATACCGTATTCAAAGAGCTGTCTGTGGCTTCAGATGGACATCATTTTTTGACAGGTCCTGAAATCATATTCCTGCAATGACAAAGAAACAAAATTATGGTCATTTAAGCTTAGCCATTAAGCAAAACAGACACTATATGATAAAATGACCTCCTCTGGCGAATCCATTTCATCTTCTACAGATGTTTTTCTACTAGTACGAGGAAGAAACAAGTGTTATATGATGATATATTCAGCAGCACACTGATGCTCTTCACATGGTTTAACTCCATAGTAGAGATGGAAAACAGAGGCTTCTTTCGTCCAATATGAATGCCCCTATTCCTGACGACAGGTGTAGGCATCTCCAGCCGGTAGCAGATCTTAGATAGTGTATGCTTCAGTGACCTGCATGTAGATGAAACCCATATATACCATCTCAGGCAATAATGCCTCATCACTATCGTCTGACAGAATGCCATCAGCCCAATCCTACTAAAGAGACCAATGGGCTTTCAATCATGAACAAACAAAAGATTGTGCATTTAAACTTCAATATTAGTACAAATAGATTCTGGAGGGACTCAATTGTCACAGAGGAGAGGATGATGCTTCTGCCTGACGCATGGAAGAGTCTCCTAATGAAGGACACTGTTTTAACTTCTCCTTGGTTCTTAGATGTTCAGCCCATGAAGCTTCCATCACCCAACTGCTCAAATTTCCTTCTGTTAATTCAAGATCACAGTGAAAACTATAAGTGCCTCCAATAATGCCAATATTACAAGGCAATGGATCATGGAAAAATGCTCCACTGTGCTACATTTCCAATGTTGCAAACATGTAGTAGTCAGGACACTGGAACCATGTTGAAACACGCTACGGATATCCAGGGCTCGGTTGGCAATCCTGATTCCCTAACTTCATTGGTCACAAAAGTTGTGGCTCATGTAGATCAATAAATTACATCTGCATAAACATCATACTTGAGATACAAAAGTCACAAATTTAAGATTCTTGCCTGTTCTACATATAAGATAGTCAATGTTAGTCCAACTCAGATGGAAAAAGATGGCTTAGAAACCCACATAACATCCTGAGCTTAATATAATTGGGGACTCTGTTAGCTTGGTTGTTTACCTAATTGTGAAAGAGGATCCTAGTTTCACATTGAAATGGTCTGACAGGGTGGCAAAACTTCTGCAGAAGGGTGCACAACTTTTGATTGTCCCCTCACACAGTAATTTATCTCCTTCATGAAGGCAAATGATCAGCTCATCAAAAGAGGAAATAGGGGCCAACATCTAAAATATCTGGATGATAAATTAAAAGATTGTAAAAGTTAGTAATCAAAACTGAAGAATGAAGAGAACAAATTTTTACGAACAGGAGCTTCCTTCCAAAGAAGCACTGTGCATAGCCACCATGAAACTGGCTTTTGGAGCTAAATAAAAAGTCAGAATAAGTAGAGGAAGGTGCAGATGAATAAATACAGAATAAATCACCATTTCAACAGAGCTGACAGCAAAAGCAGAGTAACGAAGTAAGATATTTGTCATACTAATCAAGAACATAAAAGTATGACTAAAAAGCTTATCATATTTTGAAATTTTTTATCCAACATTAATACGTCGAGTCTAAAATATAAGCTTCAAGATAGCAATGTTGCCATTTCACAATCTAACAATAGATATTTCCTTCCTCTAATGTATACCAGTGAATTATTTTGCTAAACATAAATATGAGATCAAATATAAACTGTGGCTGGACTTCTACAGATTACATTAAGGGACAGACTCACAGATTGTCTTTTATCGTTGATATGTGATTGGACTGAGGACAACCGGCAAGCTCACTCATTATTACTCAAATTTTAGGAGTACTTACAGTAACTAATTGAATGCAATAGATATATTTACTGAGCATTTGAACAGATTTCAATGTCCTTGCATAATCTGTAAAGGAAAATAAAAGGAATGACTATCGCAACATGTGTCTTACCCTGCAGCAGAACTCTAAGTGTGCAGCAGCATTACTTTGTCAATCTGCTGGCCTTGATGGGCTCTAATGGCAGCTTTGACTTTGTTCTTACCAATGTTTCTCTACAAGGGAAAGAAGTGTCAAACGGGAAAGAACAGCCATCGCCAAATAGACAAAATGAAAAAAAAAAATCCTAACCATTCTAAATAATCTAAAGAGAAAGTTATGACCAAATTCACTGCAAAAATCTACCCTATTACTCAACTTAAGTTTCCATTTTATACATCCAAGAGAAAAAGGAAAAGTGACAAGTTGTTAACGGACAGTAATGGACTGCAAAGCTTTTCTCTCAAAGACTGATACATCCAAGGCATGCACCAACTGTAATCCTAAGTGGATCAACAGGTGAGTTGTAAAGATTATCATGATGGTAAATAGACCCAATTCAAGGTGTATTAGTAGCACAATTTGCTTCAGAAAATTAATAGGTTCTGCATAAACCATAATATTAAGGAGTTTTTCACTGACAATTGCACTATACATAAATGATCATCGAATTGTGAAATTGTTTCCTGTATTCTAGGAATAAATATGTATAGAATGGTCGTACATTTCATCAAACACCTGAATCTCCATGTTTTCTTCATAGACCTGTGACAAGCCAAATATTTGGCCTTCAAAACCAAATGGAAAACATTTCACAAGCTTCATATTAGAAATAATCAATTACAATAATGAGCTTACGCAATTGAAATCAGTTATGCCATAAATAAATAAATAAATAAATAAATATATATATATATATATATATATATATATATACATATATATATATATATACATATATATATATATATACACACACACATACATATATATGTATATATGGATTATGATCAATCCAAGATAATCCAAGGCTAACCCTTCTTCTTCTGCTACATATTATACATATACACACATATATAGGTCTCAACATCCATCAAAAGAATCAATGGAGCAAGAATGGAGGCATAATAATCTACTGTAAATTTAAATAAAAAGAAAAAAAACAAAGATTCTTTATTCTTTTTTTAGATTTCAACTATATAGTATTTAATTGTTCCCAATATTCTTTTTCACTCAAAATTCTCATAAAAGACTCTCACATACTATGCAACCTTCTCACATACCTGACTGTCTTCAAAGATTCTAATCATCTTTCTCTATATTAAGGTCATCCAAAGCAATCCTTTATCGGCACAAAGCCGCCAACCATCCGATTGCTTCCGCCCCAGCACGCTCCCCTCCCTGTCAAAACCCAATCTTCCATCCTCCTGACGACTCTCTTCACACCATGCTCAAGAAGCAACATTTTCGCCAGAAATACTCGTCGAATAGCCGAGAAACAAAAGAAAAATACGCCACAAATAACATAATCAAAGAATACAAGGGTTATCTCGTCCGGCTGCAGGAGTACCTCGATGTATCTCTTCCTCGTCGAGAGGGATGGAATGGAGGCCGGAGGCCTGAGGCCCGAGGGTAACAGATCAGCCGAGCAGCGCCACATCACCGTGTCTGAAACAAAATTACAGTCTTACCCGGATTCTTATTATTTAATGAAGGGGACTAAAAAGTAATCTAATATTTTCTTTTACGAAACTGTCCACGTAATAGCCATGATTTAATAGTGGTGACGTGTAAATGTCCGTCCAATCTCTGCTCGGGTATATAACTGAGGAAACGCTAAAGTGGGAGAAGTTATTGCACGACGATACATATTAACCGGCCGCGATTAGGGTTGTCTTCCCCTTCTTCTCCCACGGCGACGGTGGTAAGAGCTGAAGAACCCTCGTGCGGTTGTCGTCTCTCTTGTGTTTCTACCTCATTTATTTGTGGGATTCCGTTCAGGGTTTGTAATCCGTGGCCATCATGAATAGAGGATTTGATTGGAATTGTACATTTTGGCTAATAAAAACTACATCAATTTGGCGTGATGTCGCAGCTATTTGGGTCGGAAAACATACCTAGTTAAAGCGAATGCAGTCAGATCACCTTTCTTGTTTCGAGCAGAGATCTCATAGGTCTCTCTACTACCTCTCCTGGGAAAAATGGGATTTGTTTTTCTTTCGATTTCTTTCGATCTTATAAATAATCCCTTTTTTACCTCCTTTTCCATGGTTGGTAAAGGTATAGTGAAATTTAGCACTTGGTTTTGAACTCAAGTTATTGCATCACTCTCTTCTGAGGTTTCTTCCCATGATTTGGCGATGAAATTGGTTATAAATTAGCATCTTTTTAATTTGTTTGCTACTCTATTCTTGTTTAGTTTATTTTATAGATAGATAACCCGTGTAGTTGAATGCTTGACATGGTATCAACCTAGTATGTCATTATCTGATGACATGGTATCAAGCTTTTAGATAACTTGATTGAGTTCGAACCACTGGCCCAAGATGCTTAAAGTCTAATTTAACAGTTATATTCTCATCAAACCCTTATAAGTTGGTCGGTCGGTCTAATAATTTTGTTAAGCCTGAACCACTGACATAAAATGTTTAATGCCGAGCCTATAGTAGTATACTCATTAGATGTCAATCTAAGTCTTAGCTCACTTTCGATATGGAAATAAATATGGGATGCTACAATGTACATGTCCAATTTCCAAATAGGCATTCAAGACTTTGGATTCTTTACTAAATTCAGCTATGGTTCTTATCCGGTGGAGCTGTTTTTGAATTATCGCATGTTAATTCTTTTTCCTTCTACCAGGAATTTGAATGTTATTATTTTCTAGGTGTGCTTGTTGAGTGATCTCATTTTTTTTCCATACTCAATCTTATATAAATATTTCAACTTACTGTTAGCCTACGAGTACTAAATATTAAAGACATTGGGACCTAGTTGATAAAAATACATATTTTTACCAATTGTTCTTGGTTACATTTCTGAAGATGCTCACTTCTGCAGCTTGGTGTGTCTACTGTTTGCACGTCGAATTCGTGCTTTTGATTCAGTCAAAATATCATCTAAGGTTGCAAGCAAGAATGCTACCTTTTGCTTTTATGAGAACAAAATATCAAAGTATGTATTCCCTTTTCAGTCTCTTTTAACTTCCCCTATGCACTCTACAACAAATAACTCTCTCATTTCTCATTCTTCAGAGGATGCGACAACAAAATCCTATTGGCAGAACATGTGACACCATTTTTCATGGCTTGACTACCTCTTGGAAGCGCATTTGGTTGTTTGCGGGGAGATCTGTAGTTGTTTGATTAAATTACAGTGACTGAATCATTACAGTGTTTACATTCTGGACACCTCCTGTCCTCCATTGCCCTTCAAACAAAGTGATTGGTGCAATCACAGTTCCCCATGGCCTGACAACACCAGCAGCAAGAGGATGGGAGGTGTTCTCTTGCAAATGTAAATGGAAGGGATGCCTACTGCACATAGAAATGGAACATGTACGTGTCAGAGAAGGGCATTGAACCGGATTAAGATTAACAGATTTGCTTTGCATCTTGTTGGCTTCTGCTCTTTATTCTGGTGAGTGATGGAATCCAATTATTGGGCATTGGTGGTGTACAAACTCCTAATATTGTATTCTATCAACCTCAATAATGTTTACAACCATTCATCCTTCAGCCTGAAGAATCAGAATGAGTAGGTGAATGGTTCCTGATAGAGTCTCATCTGATTCTGATATCTTGCGGTAGGATTTCCGAGTGGAAATGTATTTGGTACTACAGGAGATTATGCAGCGCTATATTTTGCACCTTTGCACAGCGTTCTCTGGATCAGAGCAAGTGACTTGATCCGTTGTTTGTTTGATTTAATATATGTTTTGTGGCTGACATAGATCTACCAACAACTGGCTTTAACATTAGCATTCTGATCTCAGTTCTTGAGGATTTCCATGCTGTCCTCAGGTTGCTCTTCCAGCATTTGAATTTGAATTCCTTCCTTGTTTCCATCATGGGCTGCAGCATCCTTTTCTTTACTATATAACTCTGTACCAGCAAGCAGAGGAGAAAAGTTTGGGGACGTTCTCTTCTAATTTCTCTGCTTTGAGATGCAGGAAAGCTGCAGTGTTTATTTTAATGTTGGACATCACTGATGGAAGCAGGGAGGAGATCAGTAACAAGTGTGACAAGATTGGATCTACAGAAACAGGAATGGGATGGACATCCACATAAACTGACTAATTGCTAGAGTTATCCCCTCCTCCTTATCTCGATATGGATATAAAGGATATACCATCAATATGCATACAATGACTCAAATCATGATTTCCTAAGTGGTAAATTTAGAAGAAGAAATTGATATATGTCAATTTTGACATGGATCCTATACAAAGAAGGAATCTCCAGCTAAAAGAAGACTGTTGACAAGAAGCAATGGGATATCTCTGCATCAAAGAATGCATGTTTAATGATGTATCTATCCTTTGTACAAATAGCTTGGCTACATGTGTCTTCTATCTAGACAATCATGAAGGTGTCAAGTTTAAGTTTGACTTGTACATCATTTAATGTAATGGAAGGAGATTATTTTTTTTGTTGAAACATTTGAAGAACCATCATGTTGAATGGTCCAATGTGAATAAAAAGTGAAGCAAACCTAACTATATCACTGTACTAGTGAGAAATCTTATACTCAGTCAAGACAATCCTACATTCATGAACAACAACATATCATGCATGAATCACACAACACAACAACGTTGGACAAGTGTCCGCACCCATCTGATTGTGATTGTTGCACTGGAATTGTGGGGATCATGACCACAAATCCGAATCATACAACTGTTGTGATTGGGATAGAAACAATCAAACAAAGACTCTTGTTTATGAATTGCTGTCTGGGCCTCAGCTGTCTGCTGCCTCTCCTCTTTGGCAGTAGCTTCCTTCACAAGCACTAGAGAAGAATGTCCCTTGCAAGAAACCTCCACTATGAACAAAAAGCTTCACTAGTTTCATCCTCTTTTTCTCCTTTTGCAGCCAACCAGCTACAATGGTTGGATCATTAAGCTAGCTACTTGTTAGACCATATCTCTTTCCCCCTCTTTATTCAACTCTTTTTGGACCCACCATTCTTCTTCCTCGCAACTGCACCTGCAAGTGAAGAAGGCACATGAATGAGCTGCTCTCAGGCCTCGTCTCCATAAACTACTCTGTAAGCTCAGGATATATGATGAACAACAAGCCGGGAAGGCAAGACCGTGATTGGCTTTCCATGTTGGGATAAATCTAAGATGCAAGTTGCAAGCTAAACTATTGTTTAGATTGTGAAGCCAACCCCCTGTTCGACTTCTTGTATTATTTGCTGTGTTGCTCTCAAGACGTAATGTGTCTTCGCAAACAATATCTCTCCAAAAGACACCTTTTTGAGATTTTGAACTGAATCAAAATCAAATTGAGCTTCACCTGTAAGAGAGGCTTCATTTTGCTGACTTGGGAAATCTGATCTTGTTCTTGACCTCGAATCAATCAGCATAATAAGCATTTGTCCATCCAAATCAACACTGTTTTAATTCTGAGTTCTTGAAACCCGAGTTGTTTTACTCTGATCCCAGTACATCATAATAAATGCTTCTACCAAGTCCAAAAGAAGCTCTTGGTCCCCCTGCCACACAAAAACCAATCACCAAGTCCCAGGACAAAAAAGTGGTCGTCAATCCAAAACCACACCCACCCCTCCCTCCCTCCCTCCGTCCCTCTCTCTCTCTCTCTCTCTCCTCCGATTTTTGGTGTATTTAGTGTCTCTAAACACGATTCATCCATTCTTCAAGCAATTAATCAGCACAAGAAACAGGAAGAGAGCAGTTTTGAAGCCGTCCCTCCTCACCCTATCTTCTATTGCTTCCATCCACGTTCCCTTCCACTATTACCATGCCTTTTCCGTCTCCAGAAGCGCACAAAGCTAAGGACAAACGAAGCCAGAGGCAGAGACAGAGCCGGCCGTGAAGGGGAAGAAGAAAAATACATATCTAAAGTGATGCTTCTCACGTCCCACCACTTCAACCTTCCTTCAATCCAACTCCATTCGAGAACAGTCCTTAGGCCCCCTCCAAATCCATGCCTTTTTTCCATGTTGGAGAAGGAGCAGAAGTGCTCGTGTTGTACAAGTACAATCTTTTTCCAGCCGCTGTTCTAAAAACCCAATCTTTACCCAGACATTGTTCTAAAAATCCAATTTTCACCCAGACACTGTTCTGAAAATCCAACCTTTCCTTTTTGTTGATCTTGTTTTCTTAATACTGGAACTTGCTGTTCGGCCCACCCCAACCTCCTCCACTTTTAATCCTCATAATACCAAGCTATGGCTGAAGTGCTCCGGTCCCCTTCCCACTTCGCCTCGTCTCCCAGACGCACCCTTTCTTGCGACCCGAATGATGGCTCGAATGGCCTTTTAAACCCTTCCAATGGCATTCGAGGGGGCGGAGAGGAGGAGGAGAATGAAAGGCGTGGTGCTGGCGGCGCGATAGAGAGGAAGAGGGAAACGAGGAGAGGGGAAGGAGTTGAGGAGCAGCAGCTGTCTGTGTTGGCACTGCTGCTGACGTTGTTCCGGAAGTCGCTGCTGGGGTGCAAGCCGGAGGGAGTCGACGACGAGGATTTCGGCTCCATGGAAATCGGGTGCCCCACTGAGGTGCAGCACGTCGCACACGTCACCTTCGACCGGTTCCATGGATTTCTCGGGCTGCCTGTCGAGTTCGAGCCGGAGGTCCCCTGCAGAGCCCCCAGCGCAAGGTCTGAAATCACTTGCTTTTCCTGCTTAGATTGTGTTCTTGTTGGGAAAAAAGCGTGAGCTTTTGGTTGACTCTTTGACTTGCGGACAACTTCATGTTCTTTAAATGGAATAATTATCATGAATTCGAAGCCTCTAAATTTCATGAGATATTACAATTGAAACTTTACATTTAAATTCTTATTTCTTAACAAAAATATTCTTTTCCAGTTTATAGATAGATTTATAAATTCTTAATTAGCAGAATTTAACTGCGCTCTTTGTCTCTAATTTTTCTTTCTAGTTCTGGTGTGTGTTATGGAAATTGTCATTGCTTGTTGTGAGGAATAGAAAATTTTGGATGCTGATTATTTGGAAGAACCGGTCGATTAAGTAGGTCGGAACTTTGAAGTGCTAATCATGCACACCCTCAGGAAGCATGTTGCGTGACTTACAATATCATGTTTCATGCTTATAATCGCAAGCTTGTTTGAAACATCTTTGTTAAAGATGTTGATCTATTTTCATCAGCACAAAATTTCATCTTTTGTTATCCTTCACCGAACAATTTTATGGCCTTCTTGCTATCAGGTGAACTGACGATGCCTTTTGAGTCCATTTGTATCACTTTTCAATGACCTGACTATTCAGCGAGCCACATCGTAATATCTCTGATAAGGAATGCGGGATTTTGATTATAGCTGGTCTTAATATCTCATCGACGATGAGCTGCCTGAACGTTAACATGTACCCATTTAAGAAACATGCCTACCAGACTACTAATTATGACTGCCTTCTAAACATCTGGAACTTAAATACAAATTGGCTAAACTGGTTGGAATTGGTTGATTCTTGATTGTGTTGAGGATCGACTAATTCTGGGTTTTGTGTTTTCACCCTTTCTTTTATTTTATGTAACATGCTAAATTTCTGCTGCAGTGCAACTGTCTTTGGTGTTTCCACTGAATCTATGCAATGTTCATATGATTCTAGAGGCAATAGTGTTCCGACCATACTCTTGCTGATGCAAAGACGTCTTTATGAGCAAGGCGGCCTTCGGGTATATTTGCTGATTCTTAATAGACTTTGTAGTAATTTTTAGATCCCTAATATTTGATGCTATTTAAACTGAACAGACAGAAGGAATCTTCAGAATTAATGCTGAAAATGGCCAAGAGGAATATGTGAGAGATCAGCTAAATAATGGAATAGTGCCGGAGGGTGTTGATGTGCACTGTCTGGCTGGTTTAATAAAGGTATGCCTACAAACTTTCTCCTGTTGCCGCACATGTATATACTAAATGCATACACCCTTTAAAGGTATAAAGCTTGTTTCAAGGCAGAACACCTATGGTCTCTGTATTCTGCATGTTCTGTGTTACTGTCTGTTCGCTAGATTACTACAATCTTTCAATAAAAGTTCATTAAATTATATGTTAGTTGGAGAATTAGAATGGATGAGTTTGTTGATTCTTGTGTCAAAAATTTAAATTCTTTTATCATATTTGGTATATTCTAGTTACCTTTTCTTTGTTATTATAATTATGATGATACAGTCCTGTTTGCTAGTGTACTACGCCAGTAGTTTAGCCGACACCAAATGGTTGGGCCTTCTCGCTGATGATAGATAACATACTGCAAACAGTTCACTTTTTTTTTTGGTGGATGTCTCGTGCTTCTGTTGACTTTTAATATGTGATGGATAATGCACAATAAACTAAGAACCTTTATTTGAAATGTAGTCAGATTTCGTTTCTGGAGGTTGGTCATAAATTTCGTGGAAATATATGTTCACACTTGTGGAACCAATCGCGTCTTGTTTTGTTGTTCTCTAACTCATTCTGTAAATATTTGATGTAGCAGTTCTCTATATAATGGGAATATGGAGACATAAGCAATATCATATTTTGGAAATGAAACCATTGCAGAAGTCTTCTTTACTAGTTAATTCATGCCATTGCACTTTGTCTAATTTTATCATACGATCTTCTAATAGATACTTCTTTATGCACTCTTGATTTTGAACTAAAATTCAATACATTAAACATATGCCGAGAACAATTTCCACAGAAAAGTTGATCTTCCTGAAAATATTACCTTCTGCATGTTTTCGTTTTCATTATTTTGATGCTTCTACAGGCCTGGTTTAGAGAACTTCCTACCGGGTTGCTGGACTCTCTTTCGTTTGAGCAGGTGATGCAATGCCAGACAGAAGAAGAATGTTCTCGGCTTGCTAGATTGCTACCACCAACAGAGGCTGCTTTATTGGATTGGGCTATCAATTTGATGGCTGATGTTGTCCAAGAAGAACAACAAAACAAGATGAATGCACGCAATGTTGCAACAGTGTTTGCTCCAAACATGACTCAGGTATCTAATGGTAAATGCATGGCACTTATACATCCAACCGTGTTCCTTCATGTAGCCTAATCAATAATTCCTCTATCTTTCGTCATGGCCTTTTCCTGTAGAGAACTTACAGCTTACCATTCAAATTAACACAATTATACCTAATTTCTATCATAATTTTAGATGGCAGATCCTTTGACTGCTTTGATGTATGCGGTGCAAGTGATGAATTTTCTTAGGATGCTGATCTTAAAGACACTTAAAGAGAGACAAGAATCTACTCTAGAGGATGCTTCACTTTCTAATGCAGATCCATCTGATGAGAATGGCCATCACAGCCCTCAGCTTCATCTTGAAGCTCGTCTTAAAGAGGCAACTGAAGATGTTTGTGTTATCGAGGAACCTGTTGTGGACAATCTTGCTGGAGTTCCTGAAGAAAGGCCAACAAAAGATGAGGAAGCTGATGGACCACCTCAGACCTCTCATGACAATGCTGCCTCTGAAGGGACTGCAGTGCAACATTCAACTCATGAACTCTTCTCTGAGAATTCAGCATGCCCCGATGGTTCATCCGGTTGCCAGGAATCAGCAGCTAATTGTTCTAACGCAGTTCATACAAATTCGCATAGGAAAAAGACAGGCCAGTCAAACAATCACAATCATTGGAAGGGCAGAAAGGCAAAGGGGAAGTCTACCAGTCGAGCTTCCTTGTCAGCTGAGAAGTCAAGGGGGACCAGTATCGCAAGTCGTATAAATTCAAAGGTTGAGCTTGTAGAGGCATGGAGGTGAAACCTGTTCCTTCTAACTCGTATCTGATGGTAGGCATCGGTTGATTTACTGTGAATTTGCTTTCGGTCTTTCGATGTTTCGTACTGTTTGGAACATGTTTTTTGGTTTCTGGTAACTTGAAATTTTGAGTGATCAAAATGTGCTTGTTTTCTTGTTCATCTGAGGAACCGAAAACTTGTAATAAACAGCAGAGTCTACATGATTGTTTGCTTAGGATTCTTGCTTAGCCAAGTTCATGCCGAGACATGTTCTTGCCAAACCTGCATGTTCCTCAACTTTTATCTGCATGACCCATGAATGACTGTCATGACAGATGCATGATTGAAAGGGAGTAATGTTAAGCTCCTGGTGGAATGTTTCTGCTCATTGGCTTACATCACCATATTGCTCTTACTAATTAAGAATCTGCTCATTCTTCAGTCGAACTTTGAATTTTCATATGCATTGAGCGTATAATTAAATATTATTGTAAGAGAAGAAATTCTCGAGGTGGTGTAAATAATATTGAGAGGAGAGCGAAGAACTTGAGTTATTGCCCATGTTTTTGGTTAGAAAAATATTTTTTGATATATTTTGGTTGGTACTGATATAATATAATCGATAAACTTATTTTGTCTTTTTTTTTTTTTTTTTGCATCGTTGGTTCGTGTTATATCTTTTTAGGACAATGACTATTATTCCTATTAGATTATAGTATTTTTGTATTACGTTATATATATATTTTTTAGTATTGTCAAAAACACTATAACACAATATAAAAATATTACGGATATATTTTTTAAATAAAATTTGTACAGAAATATTATGATATAATATGTTTATATTATATTTTTTTATTAAAATTATTTTAACATAATATAAAAATATTATAACTGGACTAGTTCACCCTAGAACTGGTCTATTGAAAAATGAAGAAAAAAATTCATATATTAGGTTAAAAAAAAGAACGTTGTTAGAAAATTTTGGAAATAATGATACTTTTCAAAAAATAAAAAAAAAAATATTTTTAGAAGTTTGCCCTAAACTATATTTTTATATTACATTATAGTATTTTTTTTTTTAGTATTGTCGAAAACACTATGACACAATATAAAAATATTACAGATAATTTTTTTATACAATTTATACTGAAATATTATAATATAGTATTTTTTTATATTATATTATAATATTTTATATTATTAAAAATATTTTAACATAAATATAAAAATAGTTAACTAGACTAGTTCACCTTGGTGCATAGGAAAATGAAAAAAAAAATCATATATTAGGTTAAAAAAGCGTCATTAGAAAATTTTGGAAATAAGGATAATTTTCAAAATAATAATAATAATAACTGTTTTTAGGAATTTGCCCTAAACCAATCATAATGATGGTTTTGAGGGATGAAAAAAGAAAAAAAAAAAAAAAAAAAAAAAAAGAGAGAGAGAGATAATTTTAGGGACAATCGTCGAGTACTAGTGTAATAAATCACTCGAATCCTGGCCTCTTCTAGAATATTCCAGAATCTTGGTACGGTTTTGTAAAGCGTATAATTGGATGGACTTGACGCCGGAATGACGTCATCGCTTCTTGCGAAGCAAGTCACGTATGGCGATAAGATCCGCGGCGGCGCGCATCGCTCGCTAGTGGAGGCGGACGCGATGGAGGGAACGGCTCGTAGAACCCCCCGTTACTTCGGCGACGGCAAGGGTCGGGTCCTCAGCGAGGAGGGGAGAGCCGCCGAGAACGTCTACATCCAGGTAAACAGCCTTACCTTTCTCTCTTTCGATCTTGATTCTTTTGGTGTTCGACGGAGACCGGTTTTGTGTGTAGAAAATGGAGAGGGAGCGGGTGGAGACGCTGAGGCGGAAGGCAGAGAAGGAGAAGGAGAGACTGGAAGCCGGGAAGGCCGAGTCCGAGAAAGTAAGCAAATCCTTAGGGTTCCTTTCTTTTTCGTTTGCGATTGATTCTTCGCCCTTTTTTTTTTTGCTGATTCGGTTCTTCTCAAATCATTAGGGTTCATTTGTTTCTTGGGTTGCGAATCGTCTCGATTCTTTAGGGTTTGGTTCTTTATGTGTGTTTGTGATTCTTGTCTCGTTCAAGAAATACGTGTTAGAATCTTGTGGTATCGGATCATAGTTCTACTATATAGGTAGGCCGGACAGCGGTACCAGTTTCCGTTCGAGAACGGATCCGGTTTCCCAAAACCAGGACCGGTTCTGGAATTCTGGTTCTGGTTGCGGTTCGGACGGTTCTGGTTCCAATTGTCAATTTTTTTTATTAGTTTTAATTTAAAAATAATTTAAAATTTTAAAGAAAAATAGATGTATTACTTACTGTAAAGAGTATAATAACAACATAAAAAAAGTTGATATAAAGAAGAATAAAATTATAAAATTTTTAATAACATAGGTTTATTAGTTCTAAGCTTAAGAATTTAATCATCATAACATAGATCCAATTTATATTTTATATTTATATTTTATTATATTTAATTGGTTTGAAATCGAAACCATCGGTTTGAAATCGCTGGTTCCGATTTCCCAAAAATAGAACCAAAACTGAATCGCCCAGTTCGATTCCGATAACTGTGGTCATGGCTAATAATACTATATAAGCTGTGATCAAGGAGCAAATAAGTAATAAAATTCGGGAATTGGACATGACTCGGCTGTGATCAACTCTCACACCAACTTTTTTTTGTCCGTTGCAGACTACCGAGGAACCCCGTAAAAAAGGCTGATGCGGCTCGGAAACACTTGGCTTTGTGTAGACAGAGTGGTGGACTTCAAATGTCTTGTGTCTGTTCATAAATAAGAGACAACGGTATGTTGATTTCTTTTTTGTGTTAATATGCATGTGGTTTGTGAACTGTAAAATGACATGTTGTAAATGCGATGTTCATCATCATCAGATCTCTTCCGGTGGTTTGCTTCTTTATATCTATCTATCTATCTGCTTTAATAATTCACAAAGTTTAGCTTGTGCCGAGCGATGCTGAAGCTGGAGAAGTGGGACATTCTCCGCAAGGATTCGATATCATTAATACACTCGTAAGGTTTGTCCTAGGACTAAGAGCAATTCGATGGATATGCCCACCCCCTCACAAAAGTCACAGTGATGGGTACACAAAGATGGGAAACCTTGGCAGGGATCAGAGTGAAACAAACACGTTCGTTGATGTTATTTAGTCAAATTTGTGAAGCAAAGAAATGAATTGATTCATGAAATATATTAAAATTGTAAGATTGGCGGGCGGCAGTTAGCAATGTTGGCCAACGATACAATGACCCGAGCCCACTCGGTTCAGCATTTATGGTGAAGCACACAAGCGAATAAAATAGCTAAGTTGGTCATCTCTTGGCTCAACTAGCAAAACCAGATCAGAGGGCATTCTTATCAAATATGAAGACCTTGTTTTTGATACTACCCCCACCCACCCACCAAAATGTGCTAAAAATATATTTACTACTGATCTAAAAACATCACATGTTTCTGTTTTGCTATAAATATCACGCTTGAAATAATGCTGCAGTGGTCCTCCAAAAGTGTATTATAATTAACAAACTATGATCCAATACCTACTGGCCACCGCAGGAAAGGACATTACATTACAGAAAAAAAGATGCTGTTTCAAAGGAGAAGAAACCTGGGCCTCTCAAGTTCTTAAGATGGGGAAATAATGAAACTGATGATACAAGAGACTAATTGTCTCCGAGCACAAGTGCTTTCACAATAGCATCACTCATGCCATCTGCCAACGGGAACAGGTGGCCGGCATCTGGAAGCTCATGATAATGAACCCAGGGCAATTTTTGGCTGATATAGCGTGACAGGATGACCGGCACAATCAGATCCTCTGCTCCATGCCATAGGTGAACAGATCCTTCATTGTTAGGGAATGGGTTATCAAGTTCCAAAGGGCTAAAGTCCCAGTGTCCAAAATTAACCATCATGTCACGATGAATGGACTCGAATTCTCCTTGTTGCCTTATTTGTGCCTATCATTTGCAAATAGATATGTTGGATCAGCATATAACAACAACATGGGGATGTTGGTAAAAAAGCCTGTTATCTCCAAATAACTTCAGATAATCCCAACAATATGATTAGATAAATTTTTCTCTGCAAATAGGGACTATGTTGGTAGCATAGTGTTCCAAGAGTACATGACTGGGTTTTTCCTACCTATTTAGAAAACCTATGGGGCTGAAGAGCATTCAAATTCAAGAAACAGTTCTCTATATCAATTAAGCTTTTCTTTTAAGCAAATCCTGATATGAACAAAAAACACTGTGCATTGTGTTTGGCAATACATTTTCATGATCCAATCTAAGAGCTTATAGGGTTTTCTTCAAACTTCAATATATGTTTTTAAACCTGTTCTTTGAGCAATTACTGTTGTAAGGGGGCACCTAGTTTGTTACTCAACAGTCTTTTCTCCATTTTTATTTCCCATCTAGTAACACGAACATATCCGCTGATCCTTCTACAGAATTTAGACCCAAAATCTTTATGGTTAAAGTAGACAAATACTATGTGACTGAAACATGGTAATCACCCAAAGCAATAAACTGAGCTTTCTGCTTTTAATTTGGGTAACATAAACTAAACTCTATGCTGTTCATCATGGGTAATGAAATAATCCTACATGAGCCAGAAATAATAGCTAAAGATGGAAAAGCATATTACGGAGGATTGTACTACCTGATACGCTCTGGGTGCAAATTTTGGGAAAAGCTTTAGGTCTTCAGCGGAAAAGCCATCAACACGTTGAGATACAACACTTGATCCAGGAAATAATTTCTGAGTGTTCCACCAGTATGTCAACCAAGGAGCATAATGAGCTATCCCAATTGCCCATTTATCTTGTAGGAACTGCTGATTATAAGCTTTCTTAGATAAATTGGAAGGAAAACCACGCCACCAGTAGTTGGCAACAGGGGCAACTATTGCTGCTCCAGCAAGTCTGTCACAATAATAAATTCAGGAGATGTCAAAAGAATTTGCCTCTTAGAAGCCTTGTTGGAAATATTTTTCCAAAGAAGATAAATTACTACATATTAAGAAAGTCAAAGAACTTTTATTTATCTTTGGCATTAGCTTTTTCTTTTCATGAAACCATCAATGAAAGCAAACTGAAACATAAGTCGTCACATGAAGAAGGAAACATAGTAGTTAATAATATAAAAATCCACTTTATTAATAAAGTTGTCTTACAGAATGCTTAGGAGAATTTCCCACATCGTGTAATTTGAAGTCTCCAAAATTGAGATTGCTGAGATTGAAGAAACTTTAGGGATGATCTTCTGATGGTTTGGCAGTCAGTTTGAAATGGATGTGGCCAGATTTTAGTTCCACCACCATATCAATATTCCACTGAACTAAGTAGGAGATATTTGATGGAGTTCCCTGCATCCTTATTATCTCTCAGCATCAGGACAATTGTCATCACTTTGCATTTTTCGGGTGTTTTATTTGAAACTTTCACTAACTAATGCTAGAATGTGCTCACTTACTATGTAGAAGAAAAAGAATGTGAAATGCACCTCAAACCTGTGATATGAATTTAATGAATTTGGTGATAATAATATGCTTAAACATATGATATCTGGAATTATAAACGACATTGTCTCCTGGAGATGTCATATATTTCTGTAGTTAAATAATAGTATCAGGTATTGTAATATTCTGTAACTGCGTTTTCACTGTCAGGTTACAGTATGTCAAGTCCGAGACAAAAAAACTACACCTGAGGCATAAAAATGTTTCAGAAAGTTTTAACTTGCATACTTTTAGACCTTAAGATTGCTAATTTTTATTGAACATGACTCTGGATGAGGATAAATATAATAATCATAATAATAGGTCAGCTAAACAGCACAAATCCAAATTTAGAAAGAACAAAAGGAGAAAATCCTTTTGTATGCAGTTTGAAATCATGTAACTAATAAACAAAAGTTCCTCTTAGCAAAAGAATAAGTCTAACAGTAGGAGTAACTCATGAATTCTTATATAGAAAGCAATGCTACACATCAAAGAATAAAACTCGTTCAGATTCAATATGAAAATTCTTCTGAAACTAGTGAAAATCTCTGGTTCATACCTATGAGGAATAAATTTCAAACATGTCCAACCAATCTCTCCTCCCATAGAAAACCCAATAATGTAGAATTTTGATCCAAGCTCCAACTTGTCGGCAAGCTCTTCGATATCCAGTGCTGTGCTTTTCTCTGTCATCTTTGGGTGAGGATCACTCTCTCCATATCCAGCTCTATCAAATGATAGTAAGTAAATCCCTAGTTCTTCAAGCAATGCCTGAAAATTTACACGGTCCATTAGTCTTACTTGCCAGTGTGGTTACACAGTTAGACAATATTGGGAAAACTTAAAGACATGAACGGTGATCAGTACCGGAGATATGGGAATCACATCAAATTTGCAACAGTCAAAACCATGGATAAACACGATCTTGTACTTTGCCTTTTCTTTTGGAACACCATTTTCTGTGTAGGCCAAGTGTCTGCCATCTTTGAGTTTGATTCTGGATGATGTAACAGGAGGGCCATCTGGGGATCCACATATCTTAGGAGGGGTAGGCTGGATTGCCTGATATGACCAAGCGACTAGGCCAATGAAAAGAACAACTGAAAGTTTCTTTATCATCCCTGTATTGTGAAATTTATACTTTAATCAGTTTAAGAAAGAAATTGTAGAAAATTAAGGATTGCTACATGGGCTACCCTCTTTTCCTCCCTCCCATGCCAAACATGTCCTCTTATATGCATAAATCATAAGAAAAGCAGTAGCCACAAAATGACATATGAGTGATTTTTGCCTAAGAAACCACTAATATATAAATAATCATTTCAACTATAATTTTGCTGATGGTTTACAGTGTACACATTGAACCAGTATGATATTAATTGTATGATAACTCTAGAATCGTGGAGCACATGCACAGCGTGCGTGCACACACACACATATACATACATACATGTGTGTGTGAGAATTAGTGTCCATAAAATTTGGGCATGGCTCCATAGCATAAAATAAAGCAATAGAGAGAGATGAAAGACAAATTAGGGAAACATAAATGTAAAGATAAGATCTGTAATTTGCTTTGAAAAAATGGTACAATTCCACTGTGAAACTACTTGCTTAGAGGCATAAAAGTAAGTACATATAAGCCAAACTAAGTATTACAATGTCTATGAATGTGATTTTGTAGCATGGAGTTCAATTTTGCCCAGACCAGTCCACACCGACCGGTATTTATCAGTTCTGGTGCAGTAGATGGATCACCCTTACTTTAGGAGGTTTGGTCCAGTCTATTTTTCCATTTAACAGTTGTCTTTTTCTTTCTTTTTTTTTCTTTTAAACATCCCGCCGCCTAGGACTCGTGATTCACAAACATTAATCACCTCTATCAGTCACTCGACCACCACCAACCCCTGCTGCCACCAGTGCGCTCAAAGCCTGCTGCCAACCGCCAACCTCATCTATGGTACATCTCCTCCTTCCTTCCTTCCTTCCTTCTTCTTCTTCTACATTCTCCCCACCTCCCCTAGCAGCATGGTACCACAATATGTTCTAGCGTACCATGTATCAGTATATTACAACATACTGGATCCATGCCGCTCCAGCCATGGACTCGCATGGGTCCGGTACCAGAAATTAAATACCTTGCTTTGTAGTGGCTAAACACCATCATGTGACTAAATTAAAAAGAAAAGGGAGAAAAACATCATTTAGTTCAAACTCAGCGATCGTGGGACTAATATCTTAGGAATACAGCACAAACATAAATACATCACATACATGGATGTGCATACATACACATGGATACACATAAATACATATACCACAACCACAAAAGGAGAATAGGACACGCACACACACATAGGTATCATAGAACTGAAAAGAGAAAATACATATAGAAATCACCACATCAGTAGGCAAGGGCTTCTTGTCACTACTCTTGGATATCTTCACCAATAAAGAAAAACAGACTGTAATAAAAAAGAATATGAGACTGATGTTCATCCAGTTAGTAGCACCAATGAGTGATGTGATCGAAGCATACAGGTATTTAACATTAAGAACATCGGAATTATCTCCACCATTAACGTGTTACTAAGATCATCAATTTTCCAACCTTGCATGAGAAAGTTGAGATCTAGCATCTGTTCCTAACTTTACTTCGACTTCCTCTCTCTAGAGATCTAGCAACCGTTCCTAACATCAATGAGGAGTAAAAATTTGATTCACAGGAAGATACTCATCAGGTCAATTTCATCAGCTTCAGATCACTTAAAAAGGGTTTAGATTTCAAGTATTCCTACATCCCTAGTTCTAATATCCTCATAAAGCAACTTCAAATGACTTCAAAGCATACATTCCAGGATTACAAATTACACCATAACCACCTCGCAAATCTCGATCACTCAGCAGATGCTCGAACCCACCATCTAATGTAATTACAGGTGTCGGAACAAGGACCACAAGAACCCTAGTGCTTCGGCCACCATCCAATTTGAACTTGTTCTATGGTCAACAAGTCCAATCATGTTTTGCAGTGTACAAACCTACAGATCACTAGAACCAGAAAGTACATGTGCTGCTTTTGGAGCCTTCACAGTGCTCAACAACCAGAAATCACGAAACCTGATGTTGAAAAGAGAGAAAAAAGAGAGAGAATACGTGAAGCCCTAAAGACGAAAACGAAACAGAGGCGAAAAGAGATGGAGACCTCGAGGGAGGAAAGAGGAAAAGGCGTGCGTCTTCTTTCTGGTGTGAGCTCTTGCAGATGCGGCCGAGACCTTCCGGATCGTGCCCGCCATCGCCTTGCTCGCTGGTCTCGCTTCCCTTCTCTTCCCTCGGCTCGACACAGACGCCGATAAACCGCCAATATAAAGACGTGAGTCAACGCACTATTATCCCCAATTCGCGTATCGATCTCCCTCAGACAGTCATTCGTAGGAGTTCGTAGCGGTCCGTAATCGTGTAACAACAACCAACATTAGCCAATTTTTTTATTTATTTATTGAAATCAAAATAATATTATCGTTTTATACTTTGAAAATATTTTTTGTTATCATTTTGAAGATAGTGATTTATATTTATATAAATATCTTTGTAACGATTTCTTATATCACGGTTTTTTAGAATAAAAAATTTGCTCTCAGTCACGTGTTAGGAACGTGATGGTTTGGTTTGGTGTGCCCATCAGGTGACATCATGAAAACAAAGATGTGGAACAACTTCATGTATACTATCGGATTTGAATTGAAGATCCGCGCATTGTATTTAAGTAACCTATACCCGTATTTTTATGTTGGATTCGGGTTGGATGTGCCGTCGTCCTCTCCCTCCGCTTCCGCCGCCATCGGCTCCCTCTCCATTGCCCGCTGCAGTCATCTTCTCCCTGCGCAAGCTTCTCGAGCAATCCATCACCACCGGCCGCAGCATACCTTCGACGTCCTCGTCGCAGCCTAGCAGGAGCTCGAGCCCTTCGATTCCCTCGTGGTGAGAATACGCCGACGTCCGGTGGCTGGTCCATTTTTAAGGGTTACGGCTTTGGGTTCGGTTTGCTAAGGAAGTGTTCGACTCGATTGAGCAATTGAACCGGACGGGAAACCGGTGCCCCCCCTGTGCATACAAGAGAGAGACAGACAGACAGATAGCCTAAAAACAAACCCTAGCTTGGAGCAGCCGGCCCGAACTCCCGTTCCCTTCCTCTATCTTCTTCGCCTCTCCGTTTTCCTCATCCGCCGTCTCCCTTCCTTATCGATGGCGATTGCAGCCGCCGACGAAACGGGTCGCAGCAGGGCGTACCGCCTAGTGGCGGCGAAGGGCGAGGACTAGCGGCACGGTGAGACAAGGTCCTTTCTCGTTTCTTGATCGTGTAGATATAGAAGATTTCATCTTCCTGTTTATCTGCCTTATAGCCAGATCCCTACTCCCTCTTGGGATCGAGAAACATAGGCGTATTTTGGACATCTGATGATGCCAACAGACATTCAAGGTTAGGGCTGTTAGGGGAAGCTCCATCCTTTCAAGGTCTGACCGCCTCCTTATTCTATTCCATGGATCGACATCTTTTAACTTCGTTGTAGAACGATGGCTATGCTTACATGTGTTTCACATTGATAGTTGTAGAAGTTGGTATGTTTTATTATTGTGCTTCCCACTGGGTGGGAATTCGTTACCGAAAGAAGGGACCTTTCTGATGTAGAATAGAGAAATAGTTTTCCTCATTGCAATCAGATCCATGCTGAATCGAATTCTGTATCTTCCCACAGTGAGGTTGACACTGATACCCGATTAATGGTTCACGTTAAACCAATTACCTAGCATATCGATCATCCTTCAATGAGTTTTTTGTTCCATGTTCTTTCATGTCTGGGGTCAGTGCGTCAATGTAATGTTACTTTCATTTCAATAAGTAATTGTATTAGATTTTGCTACCTCTTTGCTAGAAATATCCAGTGATGAGTAAATACTTTAGCTCGGGACATGTTTATTTGTTATTTTGATGTATTAGATTTTATGCAAACTTTTAGAAAGATATATATTTACCGACATATCATCACATTTCTTTTACCTGCATTATGATGTATATATAGCAAATAATACCAAGTAATTCTTTTTTATGCTCCCTTTTTTCATCTTTTTACATTTCTAGATCTCTTCACTCTTTGGGTCAACATATGTCTCAGGTCACAGTCTAAAGTAGTCTCACTTTTTCCCCTAATTTTTCTTTTATAGATTACTTTAGTTCATTTGGAGTACCTATTGATGCCCCGAGTATATAAATAGTTAGAAGCAGCAATTAAACTGACAAGGTTTCCTCAGAAAATTTCAGAAATGTTGGTTCCAGTTTGTTTTCATCACTCTTAAACTTGCAATTTTCTTATTTGGTTAACATAATTACTTATTAGTGGTTTCTTTGGCTGTGGCTGCATATTATGCGCATTTGTTTGTGTTTTAATGGTTTCTACATTTTGAGCTGTTCTTTTATTTGTTGGACAATTTGCTCCTAAATCTGAAAGGGTTTACACTTCATTGATGTACTTCATTTCATGTCTGTTATTGGTTCAAAGAAAGGATATGATGGCTTGTGTAAAAGGTCTGAGTAAGAAATATATGATTGTAATGAGATGGCTTTTGGACAAGGAAGAGGGCCCTTGCCCTTGCTCAAGTTGTGGCACTGTGCTTTCGCAACCTCTTCTATATTAAACAGTTCATGTTTAGGCATGGCAATGGGTTGGAAAAAAAGGCGTGGGCTGCATTTTAGTATTAAATGTTGGCCTAGACTTCTCCCTATATTCCGAGTAGATGCCATCTGATTGCTATCATGTTTTCTTCACTGATCAAATTTCCAATCTGATCCTTTAAATCTTATAATGACTATGTTGTTTTGGTTTTCTTTCTCCAAAGGTTTCTGTGACTTGAGAATTCATGCATAGGCATCGACTATGATACTAGCTGCTGAATATTTTCTAGATCTGGAATGTGTATCAGAAATGGTTTTTTATTTTTACATTGTGCTAGTGTTCTGCAAATTCATATTTTGTTTATTGGTTATGAGCTTTTGGAGCAGTCAATTTTGACATTCACAGAAATGATCCATCCTTTTATCAGTAACATTGAACTTTTGCATGGATTTACCAGTAGTTTATTATTATGAAAATGATCTAAAGTTTGTTACATAATTTTATTGTACTGTGGGTTTACTAGACTGTTTTGGTTTCTGTCATGATCCTGAGGAAGCATGTGTATTTACACCTAATGGAAATTGCAATTATGCAAAACATATTTTCCTTACTTTTTTGTTTGAGGAGTCGATAGTTTTTTAGCTTCTTTTTACAAAAGATACACTGATTTGCTTTTGGATTTGTTTTGGCTCTGTTTCAGCTAACAGTGGACTAAAAGATTGGAACACAACTGGATCAAGTTTGATCAAATCAGTCTCGTTGCTTCATATTTGGCCTTCGGATCTTCTTTTCTGGTGGAGTTCGAACATCAATTTTTTATTCTCATTGATCCAAAACAATGAGAAAACTTTTATCTACTTGGCACTACATTCGAGCACCGATGTAATGGGCCACTTTTGGACGACCTCCTAACCCTCATTTTGCAATTTGAGACATCTAAGTGGTGAAGGTACCTACGTCACTTTTTGGTGATGATATAGTTCTATACTAAAATCTGTCAAGATCTATGTTCATGAGATTTGATATAGTTTTATATTGATTGACAATGATCTAACATAAACATATACCCTTTTTAGCTAGGCTTGAGATTGGCATTGATAATGTTAATTTTATTTACGCCAAAAAAAAAAAGGCAACTAGGTTCTTGCCACTTCTATTAGAGTCAACTGAGCATTTTCAAATGGTTACCTGTAGAGATGACATGCAAGTTAAGATGGGAGTTATACCCATCCCACCTATACTCTCTCTCTCTCTCTTCCCTTGTCTTGCTTCCCGGCAAAGTTTTGCCTGTGCCTTACCTATTGGTTTTTAGGAACCCTGGCTACATTGTTCTGCTTCAGTTTGGACTTCTTGCGGCATGAATCATAAATATCTCTTCCATGTTGACAATTTGGCCATATTTTAAATTGATTTAGTAATATTATTAGTTTATATTGGGCTTGAGGAAAAGCCATTTTGTTCTTCCTATCTTGTTAGATGCAAGATTCACGGATGACTCCACCAGAAGACGCGATCAACGTTAAACCACAAAAGAAGAAACCATCGAAATGGATGTCTACTGCAGTTCAGATCAAAGAAGAGTGCTGGGGGAAAAGAAGCTTCCCATCTGTCCAGCAAGCCACAAAATGGATCCAAGAGAGGCCTGTAAAGTGAGTCTTTCCACCATATCCGACAGACAGACAGACAGGTCAACTCCTGATTCTTTGTGTGATTCCTCAGGATCCAGTGATTACTACAGGGCACTAGGGCGCAAATACGTATTGCTGGAGGAAGAAAGCTTGATGCAGAGGTAAGAACTCTGGAAGATGAGAAGTTTGCTCTGTTGGATCAGCTCGTTGTCTTGGAAGGTCTTCTTGATCCTTCATCATGTAGGGGGTTTGTGAAGAGAACACGACCCGACAGGGAGTTTTGTATGTTCTTAAAAGCCCAAGCTACGATCTGAATTGATGTATCAGTTGTATTTTCTGATTAAGATGTATAAAATATTACAAATGAGAGAGAATTCAAAATATAGTTTAGAAGGAACTCAGATGTGAATCACTGTCGAACATGTATTCCAAACCTTTCGTGGAGACATTGATATGATTACTGTACAAAAAGAATATATAGAATGCAGGAAGATAGTAGAGAGGATCAGAAGGTGACCAAAGAAATTTTTATCAAATCAATGAGCATTTAGAAGAATATAAATATTTTTAAAATACATGAAAACATTTTTATAAAAATATCTAAAATAAAATTTGAATTTTAAGATATAATATTTCCCGGCAAAGTGTACATAATATCTTTGCATTCACTGATTAATAGTAGAATTTTTAGGAGGTTTATATGCAAGTGAATCTCTTAATTATCCTCTTTACTCTCGTATAAAAGTATAATAGCATCGAAAAGATATTAAATTTGATCTATGATTTTTTTTAAATTTTAATTTTTTTGATATTAAAATTTTACACATAATAGCATAATCACATATCTATACTTACGCATGTCACATATATCTATCAACTTAGATTTGCAAGCATCTTTACTTGTTTTAGATAGCGTGTAGTTTTTGCATAGCAAGGGAGAGGATAACATAGAGTGTGTCCCATGGCTTGCTTGCTTGCTCGCTCGCTCAAATAAGCCAAGAAAACACCTTGATAGAGACGAGGAGGAGGATGTTTGTTGTATGCTGATGCTGAAAGCATATGCAAGTGTGCACCTTACAATGCTTTTTCTCCTCGATCCGAGTTTGCTTTCAAGTTTGGACATCAATTTTGCCAACCTAATCTTTCTTTATATCTTACCATCTCAATCCGTGATCTCTTCCAACCCAAGAAGGAAGATGGAAAGACGGCCATGGTCTTCCCCTCTGCGCCTCGTCTTGCTCTTCCTGGTCTCTCTTCAGGCCTCCGGATACACACGGCCGCCACCGGGGAGGATCATCGAAACAGCCCACACCAAGTCTTCGTCCCACCCACAACAGGTGTGCAGTGTTGGTTCTGATTCATGCAGTCATCAATGAAGTGATCGTGACTTCCGCTGTGATTAGGTCCATGTCTCAGCAGTCGCCGCAGATCACACGAGGGTTTCATGGATCACCGACGACAGGCATGTTCCTTCGCTGGTGGAGTACGGGAAGGTGTCCGGGAAGTATGACACCGCCGCCACCGGAGAGCACACTTCCTACATTTACTTCTTCTACACCTCCGGCAAGATCCACCACGTCACGATCGGGCCTCTGGAGCCCGACACGGTGTACTACTACCGCTGCGGTGGAATCGACCAAGAATTCAGCTTCAAAACCCCGCCTGCAGCTCTCCCCATCGAGTTTGCCGTCATAGGTTCGATGCTCGTGCTTGTTGCGAGGAGTGCTGTTCTTGCTGAAGATCTTTGTCTACAGGTGATCTCGGGCAGACGGAATGGACGGCGTCGACGCTGGCGCATGTCGCGGAGTCGAACTACGACATGCTCCTCCTCCCCGGCGATCTCTCGTACGCAGACACGCAGCAGCCGCTGTGGGACTCCTTCGGACGCTTCGTCCAACCTTACGCCAGCAAACGCCCGTGGATGGTCACCGAGGGCAACCACGATGTCGAGGCCTTCCCCGTCTTCCACTGCCACCCCTTCGTAGCCTACGACAGCAGGTGGCGCATGCCGTACGAGGAGAGCGGCTCCGCCTCCAACCTCTATTACTCCTTCGACGTCGCCGGCGCCGTTCATGTCGTCATGCTGGGATCCTATGCCGACTTCAACGCCAGCTCAGCACAGTACAAATGGCTGGTGGCGGATCTGGCGAAGGTCGACCGGAGGATCACTCCTTGGCTAGTCGCGCTCCTCCATGCGCCTTGGTACAACACCAATCTGGCGCATCAGGGGGAGGGGGAGAGCATGAGGCAAGCCATGGAGTCGCTGCTCTACCGAGCTCGCGCGGATGTCGTCTTTGCAGGCCACGTCCATGCCTATGAGCGCTTCGTGAGCCTTCTTCTTCCGTCGAGTTAGGATTAAGCTTTCGATCCAGCAAAACAAATCCGAATTGATGGCTTTGGTGCAGACGAGGGCATACGACAACAAGGCAAACCCTTGCGGGCCTGCGTATATAACCATTGGAGATGGAGGAAACAGGGAAGGACTCGCACTACAGTGAGTAGGACGCACAGAAACAGTAACTCGTCATCTAGAAGCATTCTGATGTAGATTTTGATGTCCGTCCATGCGATCATGTGAAGGTTCGACAAGCATCACAAGTCTGCATCGCTTTCCTTGTTCCGGGAGGCAAGCTTCGGGCACGGGCGGCTGAAGGTGGTGAACGGCACACATGCTCACTGGTCGTGGCACCGCAACGACGAGGACGACGGCTCCACCGTCGGCGACCAGGTGTGGGTGGAGAGCTTGAGTGCTTCTGCCGCTTGTGGGGGTCCGCTGGGTGGGGTTCCATCTGCTTCAACGAAGGTTGAGCTGTAGATTTCAGAAACGTAGGTGAGACCGGGGGATGGTGATGCAAACATGAAAACCTGTTGTTTTAGCTCTCCAAATCATTGATAAACCTTTTTCTTTCTATCTTTCTTTATTTTTAAGCTTTCTTTTAGAAACAAAACTCATTGAACATATTTTTTAAGGATAAATGATGCCATTTATTTTTCAAAACATTCATTAAATATATTTTTAAAAGTAAACGATGAGAACGAAATCAAATCCCAAAAAATGAGATAACTAGCTTATTAATTATATTGAGTTTAAATCATTAACTTAAAATATTTAAGTTGAAATTAATAATAATTCAGTACTCATATCTTTATAAATCAATTTTGATATTTACCTACTTTCGACTAATCAGAATATTATTATCTTTCTCACTTAATGACTCGATATTCTCGTGAGATTTTTTTAAATCAATTATAAATGAGTGATTTATATAGTCTAATGAGTGATTTCTTTCTATTTAAAATTTTTACTATATCTTAATTGTAATGCCCTAAAAGGCTATACAATACCTGATAAGAAAATCTATATAATTGTGGGATTGTAGTGCCCTTGACTTTTGGTTGGGTTGAGGCATTACAATTACCATTAACTATAGTTAATATTAACTAGTTTAAATTTTAAACACACATACCTAATAAAGGGTTTAAACACAGTTTTATTCTAGTTGTATGATAATTAAATGACAAAGATTTGTAAGTTTTTGGATTTTACAAGGATATAGGGTATATATATATATATGTGTGTGTAATTTTGTTATAAATTGAAAAGATGTTCCAAAATTTAGAAGAAATATGATGAGGTCAGATTTGAGTCATAAAATAATGATTGTTATAAATATTTGAAAAAAAAAACTGGGTGTAATTAGATGAAACATCAAGTTTGATAGAGTCAACTTGTAATAGATTCAACTACCCTATATGTTTTTGATCACATAACATATTAGATTAGCTTATTGTTGGCTCCAATCAACTTCCTCCATATAAGATCCAATTGGATCATCCATGATCAAATTAGTCTATTACTTATTTAAATAAATTTAATTAGTTTAGTGGTTATTTTAGGTATGATGACATGATAACATATTTTTATTTATATATATTTATTATTTTGTATTTGGACTTAAAAAAAAGGTCTAAAATATTGTAATGAAGGTTATAAAAAATATAGTTAATTGTATTATTTTCAATTTTTTTCTTATTTTAATATCTATTGATCCCTCACATGTTATGCTAAACCATCACCATACTCTTCTGCTCTCTTTTTAATAACAAAGGAATATAAAAATAATAAGAATGATAGTAATTAAGGATAACAAAATGAGATAATTAGTTTCTTTTTGGCCTCGTTGAGTAAATATTGAGGTAAGATAACTTATTATGTATATGTAATATATTTCTATACTAATCAAATCTATTTAAATAAAAGATAACACTAAATTGATTTTGTTCTTTTTTTTATCTTGTAATATTTTCTTTTATTTTAGTTGGAAGAAAATATTTGGAGTTGAGGAGCTGCAGGCTCTGTTCCTTTTATTTTAGTTTATCGACTTAAGAATCGAAAGGATATTATTAAAAATATCTTGATATGATAGTAAAGTTTGGCTTGAGATGGACATGAAAAAAATAAAAAATAATAATTTTTAAAATTTGACTTAATAATATCTTAAAAAAAATAAATCTAAAGAAATGTTTTGATTACGGAAAACCAGCTATAGATTTATTTCTTAAAACAAAAAAAAAACAGGGTTAAATAAAAATATGAGACAAAGATAAAATTAATGACTTGCGACAACTCTCCGCTTTCACGGAGTTAATGGAGCGTGGCAGAGAGTGTAATTCTCGAGAAAGTCACGTCTTGTTTCGTCATCTAAAGCACTCCGCAGTCCACCGAAGCCAGGCCGGACCCACCAGCAGATCCAATCATGATGTAGGCGGCGCTTTCTGCGGAGCCGTCCGATCTTTCGCTTTCCTTTTTCTCTTTTAGGTACCATGCAATGCAATTACAATCTTCACGCTTTTATATTACGTATTTTATATTACGTATACATCACAATATTATATATATATATATACTCTCATTTAGAAAATGAAATAATTATTATCTAATTCGGCCTTCATAATAATATTAATATTTTTTGTTTCTTTTTCGGCCTTATGCTTCTTCTTCTTCTTCTATCATTCAGAGCGGTGTGCTGTTCCTCGTGACGGCCATTTCACTCCTGCCGTGCCGCTTTCTCCTACCTCCTCTTCTCTCGCTCTCTCCAAAACCCTAACCCGGAGATAGATCCTTTGATCCGCCATCTCCCATTGCAATCCCTGGCTCCGATTGGTGGTTCTTGAATGAGACCCTAGGATTGGCTCATCGATCCGGACCGGTGTCGGCATTGGTGGTGGATTGGCTTGCGGTATGCATTTCTCTTCGTCGAGTCTTAGGCGCCTCTTACTGGGTTTTCGCTGATCGATTTGTTCTGGGGAAATTTCCTTTCTTTTCCCGTCTTCTCTACTCAATTTGATGACATTGCGAGTGGTTGGTTATTCAGCAGTAATTTCTTTGGTTTCTCTATTGGTTTATTTGGAGTGCGCTCATATTTGGTGACTCGTAGGGTGAGATTTACTGTGCTGAAGTCGGTTGATCTGTCCACGAAAATGGGAGCATGTTTGAATTAAATGACTGTAGTTTTCTTTGCCAAGTTTTTTTTTTACCTGTTTTGTAGTCACCATTTTCTAGTTTTCTTTTAGTACTTCGGAAAAACCATTCTGAAGTTAGGCTCTTTCTTTATGTCCTAACCTACAGATCTAACATTATATTGAGAAAAGAAGGAAGGGTTTCTGCAATTTTGAACAATTGTTTATGAGTATTTATTTTCTTTGCGTATTTCAAACTTTGGTTATTGTGATCGAATATATTCAAAATATAATATGCACACAGAATTTCGACGAAAGCATAAAGAAAAAAAATACCGGAAAAAGTTAATTCTATGTCATGATATGTTTCTACTATACCAGTCTTAACCTCTTTTTTTTTTCGTTAATGGAGTCAATGCCTAAAGCATAAAGCTAGCCTCGGGTCTAATCATGCTGTAGATAGCTTTTGATTTGTTTTTGTGGAACAAGTGCTAAAGAATACTCTTTATTCTTTCATGCAGTCCAGTGTAAAACTACTGCAGGATCATGATTTGTAATGATTTGGGGAAGTCATGCTGGTCCTTTAAATATAATAATATATACAGTGATATCATCTATAAAGATGAGCTTGATGCTTCATGTTCCTGCTCCACTACCATTTGATGGTTCTCCGATAGATGTGCTTGTCCCTTGATATTTGATTTTTCCGTTGAGGTGCATTTCTTGCAAGGACTGGTTGAACCATCACCTAGAGATGGGCTTACATGGTGGTACTTCTGAAATTGTTGAATCAAATGAAGAGCCAAATACGGCCAGTTGTTATGGTGGATCTAAAACACTTTGTATTAAGCTCAAACCAAATGTACGAGATGGTAAGTGCCAGGATGCGGAAGATGACCTTGATCAGCTTTTGAGGGCGATAGATATCAGGACCTCATCCAGGGTTCTTGGTCCTTCCAGTCAACCAAGGGTTGACTTGTTGTGGAAAAATGCTCTCAAGAAGCCAGTTAAAGTTGGAGCATCTAGGCCATCAGGAATAGGAATATCGGAATCTGTCACCTTAAAACAGGCTTTAAGAAGGCTGTGCATTTCCCAGGCATCAGAGATGGCTGCCATGAAGAGGTTATCAAAACCAGGTGGCTCATCCGTGGCTTCTGAGGCTGGAACAATTAAGAGGCTTTATGCATCGGTGGTGGTTCAATCAAGTGACTCTGGTCTTCCTCTTGATGGAGAAAAAAGAAATTTAGTCAAAATTTCCGTTGTGCCTGAAAAGGTGTCAGCAGATTCATCAAAAAAGGCAACTGTATATGGTCAATTGCAAAATTCAGAGTCATATGAGAGTGCTGTTTCATCTCCTCTATCTTCAGTTCCTAATACAACCAAGGTAACTAAGTTCAGAATCCAAGATGTAATTAAGCCTACCTCTGAAGAATCCGATGAAAGTCAATCAGCTGAAATAGGGATAGAAAAGAAGGGGAAATCAGTTTCCAAAACATCCATATCTAGCTCCCAGACAGTTGTTGCATCAAGAAAGCCCATTGTGATTCCGCTTTTAATTAAGCCAACGCATTGGAACAAGACCACTAAAAGGAAAGGGAAGCCTGAGCCAACTTCAGCACCCAGTGGTTCCACCAAATGTGGTGAACCTTACAAAAGTGGTCCTGCTCTGTCTACAACCAAATCACATTGTTTTAAGGGAAGTGTCTCCCCTTCACATGCTACTCTGCCAACAAAAAAATCATGTTGTCCTAAGGAACCTGTCACTCCTGCATCCAGCACTAGGAATCCTGTTGCTGAAATTGGTACAGAAAATGTTGATAGTGATGCAAGCAAAATATTTTCCAGCCCGAATATCTATGTCAGTGGTATAGCTGTTGATACAAAAGCAAGTGAATTCTCTAGAGCAAGAGAAAAAGGGGAGTGCTCCAATAGTTCTAAAAGCAGCATTGGGGATTACAGTAGCAGCACTAGCATCAGTGAAGAGAGCCAACATAGTAATGCTAGTATTAAAGGCTGTAGGCCTCACATGTCAAGGGATGTGAGATGGATGGCCATCCATAACATCTTAATTCAACAAAGAAGTTTGGGTTTAAAGAATTTTAAGCTCCTCAAACGGCTTGGTTGTGGAGATATTGGAACTGTTTATCTTGCAGAGCTGGTTGGTTCTGAATGCTTATTTGCATTAAAGGTCATGGATATCGAATTTCTGATTAGCAGGAAGAAGATTCTGAGAGCACAAACGGAAAGAGAGATTTTGCAAATGTTGGATCATCCATTCCTTCCCACCCTGTATGCTCATTTTACAACGGATAGCCTCTCATGTTTAGTTATGGAGTATTGTCCAGGTGGTGACCTTCATGTCGTTAGACAGAAGCAACCTGGAAGGAGTTTCTCTGAGTCAGCTGCTAGGTATGTAAATTAGACTGGTGCACATATTGCTTCAGTGTTTCATGCTCATCTTGAAAGCAATTTTAGTTGTTGAAATCCATTGTTCTAGTCTCGTTAGCAACCTAAAATAGACTGTTTTGAGAACTTAAGCACTTGGTAATGCATAATGCATACATGCATGATCTTTATAACATTGAGTCCAATTCAGATTAATTCAATCAGCTGTACTTATGTTCTTCCAGGGGATGAGCAAAAGAATCTTGGACAAGGCTCCTTCAAAGGAGATTAATTCAGTAAAAAGAAACTGCCAATGATGAACCATTATTTGATTAGCAAAATTCTAGCTAAATGTCAGTTGGAAGCATATTGAACAATCACTTTTTGGTATTTTGAAGTACTCATTGAATCACTGTCATTTATAGGGTTTTTGATATCATTCAAAATTTCAAACATATGAAACGGCAGTCTGCTTGGAAAATGCAAACCGCTCGTGTATATTAACTTTCCTTGAATGGCTTTGGTTCATCAGACTAGAGAAGTATAATTCAGATGGTAGGCTGCTGCATTTGTTCAGCGATAACATCATCATGGGTTTATGAAGTTCTTAAATCATAATTGTGAGTGCAATATTGACAGAATCTGTCACTGCACTTCACCATTTAGTTCCAATTTTCTGCTCACTCTGGTGATTAAGGAAACTATGCAGTTAGATTTTAATTGAATTTCCATGTCCTCTTAAAGCTACAAACTCATTCTTGGCAATGAAAACTGCAGGTTTTATGTTGCGGAAGTCCTCCTTGCTTTGGAATACCTACACATGTTGGGCGTGATATACCGTGATCTTAAACCTGAAAACATCCTGGTTCGAGAAGATGGTCATATCATGCTCTCAGATTTTGACTTGTCCCTCAGGTGTTCAGTAAGCCCGACCCTTCTCAGATCGTCATCATTAGACACGCAAGAGTCTGCAAAGAAGCTCTCAGGGCCTTGTGCTGAAAATAGCTGCATTGACCCTCTTTGTCTTCGGCCATCTTGTGTTCAAGTTTCTTGTTTCACTCCCCGTTTGGTATCTTCTACAGTAGAGAAGACACAGAAGCTGAAGTCCGAAGCGAGCGGGCAAGTAAGACCACTTCCCCAACTTGTGGTGGAGCCCACTGATGCGCGCTCCAATTCCTTTGTTGGGACCCATGAATACCTAGCTCCTGAGATCATCAGAGGAGATGGACATGGAAGCGCTGTGGATTGGTGGACCTTTGGGATCTTATTATATGAGTTGCTTTTTGGTAGAACACCCTTCAAAGGACCTGGAAATGAGGAAACATTGGCCAAGGTGGTTTCTCAGAGCTTGAAGTTCCCAGAGAACCCATCTGTTAGCTTTCACGCAAGAGACTTGATTAGAAGTCTGCTGGTAAAAGAGCCAGAAGGTAGGTTGGGATCAGTCACAGGAGCTGCTGAGATTAAGCAGCACCCATTCTTTGACGGGTTAAATTGGGCCCTAATACGTTCTGCGGCACCACCGGAGACACCACGAAGCTGTGAATTCGGGATGCCCGTGATATTTCGCAAGAAAAAAGAAGGTAAGTGTCTTGATTTTAGGGCTCACGGAGAGGATGTGGAATTTGAGCTCTTTTAGTAAAAATTCCCCACTCTAAATGGAAGGATGTAGTCGGCTTGCTGGCCTCCGTTGCCGATCTTCAGTTCCTTCCTGTTGTTGTGACACTATCTATGATGTACATGCAAGTTCAAATTCTTATTCCTTGTTAATAACATGAATATGATTTTAGAAAATTGAGTGCTGTGTCCGCACTTCTTATTTTGGATTTATGAGAGGCGTTGTTGTCTGGTAAGAGAATTTTAGTAAGAGCAATACTAAATAATTCATGGAAATTGGCATGGTATGATGACGGAGTAAGCTCGACACAAGTAGAAACAATGTGATCAGTTGACTAATATGAGTTTGAAGGCAGAAATGAATTCACAAGCAGTCTACCTGAACAGGTTGAGGATTTTTAGACGTCAACATCTATCCAATTTATTTAAACCAAGTCGAAATGGATTATTTTCTTTTAGTTTGTATGAAAATTTGGATTGATAACTTGTGCGAGGATCCACTTAAAATGGCTACCATACTAATAGAGCTTCATCCTTATATTTCACACTTCATCATCTCATACATAATGCACATAAAGGAAAAAAAAAGGGATAATTAATTCTCATGAAAG